TCCCCAAATGACTCATGTAAAATGTATCACTTTGTGGTTAAGTCCAGAGTTAATAAGGTGAAAAACATAATGAGGAGTGCCCCTGTCTTGGGAGACTTCTTAATTTATCTATTCCTTCATTTAAACAAAGACTTGGGGAACAATTATTATGTCATGAGATCTTCATTACATATTGAGACTCATATGTGAATAATAAAAAATAATATGAATAATAACAGTACATATTTATGAACAGCTTACTAACATTCAGTATGCCAGAATTGTGCCTGGAATTCATATACATTTTCTCATTAAATTGTCTCTCCAAAGAATCCTCTGATGCAGATATAATTACTATCTTGTTTCAAAGATGAGGAAACAGATACTTAGAGTAGGAAAGTATCTTAAACAGGATCTAAAAGGTAGAAAGCGATGGAACCATGATTTAAATGTAAATTGAAGGACTCTATAAAACAGATCATCACTTTACTATCTTGCGTGAAGATTTTCTGAGAAGATTCTGCTCACTATATTCTATTCAAGAGGGTAACTGCTTTATTGACTATACCAAAACCTTGTTGTGTGGATCACAACGAACTGTGGAAAATTCTTCAAGAGATGGGAATACAGGACCACCTGACCTGCCTCCTGAGAAACCTGTATGCAGCTCAGGAAGCAACAGTTAGAACCAGACATGGAACAACAGACTGGTTCCAAACTGGGAAAGGAGTACATCTTCATACTTCATACGTGCATATTGTCACCCGGCTTATTTAACTTATATGCAGAGTACATCATGAGAAATGCTGAGCTGGATGAAGCACATGCTGGAATCAAGATTGCCTGGAGAAATATCAATAACCTCACATATGCAGATTAAACCACCTTTATGGCAGAAAGCAAAGAAGAACTAAAGAGACTCTTGATGAAAGTGAAAGCAGAGAGTGAAAAATCTGGCTTAAAACTCAACATTCAAAAAATGAAGATCAGGACATCTGGTCCCATCACTTCATGGCAAATAGATGGAGAAACAATGGAAACAGTGAAAGACTTTCTTTTGGGGGACTCCAAAATCACTGCAGATGGTAACTGCAGCCATGAAATTAAAATATGCTTACTCCTTGGAAGAAAAGCTATGACCAACCTAGACAGAATATTAAAAAGCAGACACATTATCTTGCCAACAACTGTCCACCTAGTCAAAGCTATGGTTTTTCCAATAGTCATGTATGGATTTGAGAGTTGGACCATAAAGAAAGCTGAATGCTGAAGAATTGATGCTTTTGAACTGTGGTGTTAGAGAAGACTCTTGAGAGTCCCCTGGACTGCAAGGAGATCCAACCAGTCCATCCCAAAGAAAATCAGTCCTGAATATTCATTGGGAGGACTGATGCTGAAGCTGAAATTCCAATACTTTGGTCACTTGATGCAAAGAACTGACTCATTGGAAAAGACCCTGATGCTGGGAAGGATTGAAGGCAGGAGGAGAAGGCAATGACAGAGGATGAGATGGTTGGATGGCATCACTGATTTGATGGACATGAGTTTGAGTAAGCTCTGGGAGTTGGTGACGGACAGGGAGGCCTGGTATTCTTCAGTCCATAGGGTCCTGAGTGGCTGAACTGAACTTGATTGGACAATTGTCTTTAAAATGAAAATGCTTTCAAAGGTGATCACACACTAACTCAACTTCTGTTTAGTTTTATTATGAATAAAGGGAGTTGGAATCACTTGCTCACCAGAAATATTCAACTGGATCTCTGGTTACAGAAAAGATGAATTTTTGGCTCAAACACAGTGTTAGGTTTGTTGTGGTGGACTTGGATCCCTGGCTTCCCTGGTGGCTCAGATGGTAAAGAATCTGCCTGCAATAGAGAAGACCCAGGTTCTATCCTTGGGTCGGAAACATCCCCTGGAGAAGGAAAGGGCAACCCACTCCAGTGTTCTTGCCTGGAGAATTCCGTGGACAGAGAAGCCAGGCAGGCTACCGTCCATGGGGTCTCAAAGCAGGACATGACTAACACTTTCACTTTTAACTTTTACTTTGGGGATTCTTATATCACTCCTATTCAAATGACTACTTTCTAGTGTAAAATAAATATTTTTGTTCATATTTAGTGTAGATAGATATATGTGTTTATTTTAAATAAAATGTACTTGGAAGCACATGTTTAAAAAAGACACTTAAAATGGAATAATTTTCAGCCATAAAAAGGAATGAAATAGAGACATACGTAACAACATGCAGAAACACTGTGCCCGATGAAAGAAGCCAGCACAGAAAGACACCACATAATGAGATTCCATTCATATGAAATTTCCATAAGAGGAGCATCTTTAGAGACACAAAGCAGATGGTCAGATTCCTAGAACTGGGGCAGCAGGTGGGGCATTAGGGGGTAATGGTTGAAAGACACAGGATTTCTTATGGAGGTGTGAACAAATTGACTGTGTTAATGGTTGCAATATTCCATATCTGTGAATATACCCAAAAGCATGGAATCGTATGCCTCAGCTGGGTAACTTGTATTATAGGTGAGCTGGATCTCTAACACTGTTTAAAAAAGAGAGGCAGGGCGTAGGAAGCCTGGAGCCCGATCTCTTCTATCTCTGCTTTCAGGGAGATGCCAGAGTCAGCTTTTCAGACCTTTAAGTTTCCCCTCCAAATTACTCACACTATTTTAAGCCACTTTATGAAGACAAAATAGAAGCCACTGCTAAAATATAGGTAGAATAGTACGAAAATTTGATTTCTCTTCCTCACTTACTCTAACCCCAGAAAATATTACTGATGGATTAGTCAAGTCAAAGAAGCAGTTGACATTAGACCATGTCACTAAGATTTGGAGCTTTCCTTTTGATGGTGGAAAAGATTATAGTTCAGAGCCCACATGGAGTGTCTTCTTTGCCCATTCTTCTCTCCAGTCAATTGGAAAAGGAAAACAAGATTGGAAAAGAAAAACAAGCTTGGAATTGTTTCACCTGGGAGATAATCTTCCAGAAAGACCTGAAACAGATCAATTTAATGCTTTCAAAGGGTTAAGGAGAAGCCTTCTCTCCTCTCCTTTTCTAGGCTTGCTATTTGCTGGAATTATCTTCCTTGCCATTGAAATGGTATTATATCAAGTTATCTCCTTTCCTCTTTTCAAAAATTTCTGAAGATGGAGCTATGTCAACTTCCCACAGTAGCCAATTTCAAAGTTTTATGTCTAAGACACTAAAACAGTCTTCATAAAGCCCAGTCAGAATCAACCTTAGAAAAGATGCTGTTTCTGCATCATCCCCAGAAATAGGAAAATGTATCTTGTCTGCAATTTGACTTTATTTTCTATACTTAGAATGACAATGAAGAACAGAATCTCATAATAGGCCACGTGGGTCTCAACCTCCAGTATCATTCTAATGAAGACATAAGTAAAAGTCAAAATTCTAAGAGTTGCTGCATAACCTGATCTTGACCACGTTGCCAGTCATGTAACAGTAATTAACCTGGGAGGTTGGGGGGTCTGCTTCCTGTTTAACCAAACTTCCATCTTTTGATACAATTATTGCTTTTTAAAGGAGTTATGACAATGGATAGGTTTTGCTTTCACCACTGTCCATACTGAACCAAAGTCTGCATCAATACAAACACTATGTAGTCGTTCCTCTTCCCTAGGAGAGCTGAATTTGGAAAGACAAGAAGCCACTTTCCGGTGCAGGAAGCTGTTAACCCTGCAGGAAGCTTTTTGGGCGCAGTCCTGGTTGAAAGGTAGCTGGCGCCCGCAGAACCAGATGCGCTCCTGGATCATCTTCAGAGCATGCTGCCTGCTGTCCGCGCTCTGCAGTGCGTGCTCATGCTTTCTTTTCTACCCATTTTTAAGCTGGAATCTGGGGGAGAAGGATGCACGAAAATGGAGGTATAAGAATTTCTGACCTCCAACCCATCCCCAAAACATCAACTTGAACAGCTTTCTGGGCAAGAAAATGCCGTAAAGAGAGTCAAACACTCCAGGTAAGAGATTAATGCAGAGTGAAGCACAGAAATAAGGAAGGGAGGCACATTCTCGCGTCACCCCTTGAATCGCTGCTCCTGTTGGCGACGCCAGCATCTCGCTGTGTCTCACCGCACACAGTCTGCGAGCCCCGGATAGACGCGGCGCGCGCTGAGGCTGGATAAAGCCTCAAGGAGCCACGGGGACCGCAGGAACGGCGGTGCTCCCCTGGCGGGCCCAGAAGCCATGGCAGGAGACACGCTAGTCTGACACTAGTCTCCCCTCTCACGCCTGGTTTGGCGGACATAGCCGTGACCCCGCAGTAACGCCCCCACTTTCTTGGGTGGAGCCCACGTATCCTTCCTGCATGGATAGGAAGGTGACCAAGGGAAGCGCATGCGCGCGGTGCTGGACGTGCGCTCCGCGGCTACACGGGTATTATTCATGAAACGTGGGGCGGGAGCACCTGGCCTCGCTGTCACAGCTAATTTGCTCTTTCCTTACACCCCTCATCGCCTCGTCACCAAGTCCAGGCAACCCAGTGTGGAGATACTTCCTCCATGGAGGAAAGGGATGAGGTGCAGACCTTCCATTAAACGCTCAGTAATGCCCAGGCACCAGGATAAGCCCTGGGTGGCGTCCAGTGAACTCTGTACACTCAGGCTCCTCACTCACTGGGCGCCTGTTGGCTCCAGTGACCTAGATGGCTCCTGTGGGCCCAGGGACTTCTGCAAACTAAGCTCCCATTGGAGGGTCTTCCAGCTCCCCAGCGAGAGGTAGCTCCTGTGACACCAGGCACCGAGAGGATTCCAGTATCTCCAGGCTCTCAGCCCACCCCGGCGCCGACCAGCTCCCCCGGCGCCGACCAGCTCCCCCGGTGCCGACCAGCTCCCCTGGCGCTGACAGGTCCTGGGGCACCAGGCTCTCAGCCCACCCCAGCGCTGACCAGCTCCCCCGGCGCTGACAGGTCCTGGGGCACCAGGCTCTCAGCCCACCCCGGCGCTGACCAGCTCCCCCGGCGCTGACTGGTCCTGGGGCACCAGGCTCTCAGCCCACCCCGGCGCTGACCAGCTCCCCCGGCGCCGACCAGCTCCCCTGGCGCTGACAGGTCCTGGGGCACCAGGCTCTCAGCCCACCCCGGCGCCGACCAGTTCCCCCGGCGCTGACCAGCTCCCCCTGGCGCCGACCAGCTCCCCTGGCGCCAACCAGCTCCCCCGGCGCTGACTGGGGCACCAGGCTCTCAATCAGCCTCTGGAAACATGGGCTCCAGCAGGTGCCTGTGAAGCCAGGTTCCCAGCCCCGCCCATTGGTGGACCGCTAACCCGGACCCAGGTTTTGCTGCTTGCTATTAGATTAAAATAGACTTTTATCTATGAGATGCTTTATGTAACATTCATAGTAACCACAAGTCAAAAACCTCCAGTGGATACACCAAAAAAATGAAGAGAAGATGATGAAAGATAACACTACAGAAAACCAACAATTTATAGAGAAAGACAGCAAAAGAAAGAGAAGGGAACTACAATTTAGCCACAAAACAATAAGATGTCATGATAAGTACGTATTATCAATAATTACACTGAAAGGGATGGCAGAGGATGCGATGGTTGGATGGCATCACTGACTCAATGGACATGGGTTTGAGTGGACTCCAGGAGTTGATGATGGACAGGGAGGCCTGGAGTGCTGCGATTCACGGGGTCACAAAGGGTTGGACATGACTGAGCGACTGAACTGACTGACTGACATTAAATTTAAATGAAATAAATTGTCCAATCAAAAGGTAGAGGCTGATGGATTTTTAAAAATCCCATTATGCACTATCTGCTGTTGTCATTGTGCAGTCACTCAGTCTTGTTCAACTCTTTTCGACCCTGTGGACTCAGCACGCCAGGCTTTCCTGTCCTTCATCATCTCCAAGAGCTTGTTCAAACTCATGTCCGTTAAGTTGGTGATGCCATCCAACCATCTCATCCCCCGTCATCCCCTTCTCCTCCTGTCTTCAATCTTTCCCAGCATCAGGGTCTTTTCCAGTGAGTTGGCTCTTTGCATCAGGTGGTCAAAGTATTGGAATTTCAGCTTCAGAATGACTCCTTCCAATGAATATTCAGAGTTGATTTCCTTTAGGGTTTACTGGTTTGATCTCCTTGCAGTCCAAGGAACTTTCAAGAGTCTTCTCTAACACCACAGTTCAAAAGCATCAATTCTTCAGTGCTCAGCTTTCTTTATGGTCCAACTCTCACATCCATACATGACTAGTGGAAAAACCATAGCCTTGACTAGATGGACCTTTGTCAGCAAGGTAATGTCTCTGCTTTTTAGAAGCAAGCATCTTTTAATTTCATGGCTGCAGTCACCATCTGCAGTGATTTTGGAGCCCAAGAAAATAAAGTCTCTCATTGTTTCCATTGTTTCCCCATGTATTTGCCATGAAGTGATAGGACCAGATGCCATGATCTTAGTTTTCTGAATGTTGAGTTTTAAGCCAGATTTTTCACTCTTCTCTTTCACTTTCATCAGGAGGCTCTTTAGTTCTTCTTTGCTTTCTGCCATAAGGGTGGTGTCATCTGCTTATCTGAGGTCATTGATATTTCTCCCAGCAATCTTAATTCCAGCTTATGCTTCATCCAGCCTGGCATTTCTCATGATGTACTCTGCATATAAGTTAAGTAAGCAGGGTGACAATATGCAGCCTTGACATACTTTTTTCTCAATTTGGAACCAGTCTGTTGTTCCATGTCCAGTTCTAATTGTTGCTTCTTGACCTGAATACAGATTTCTCAAGAGGCAGGTCAGATGGTCCTGTATTCCCATCTCTTTAAGAATTTTCCACAATCTGTTGTGATTCACACCGTCAAAAGCTTTAGCATAGTCAATGAAGCAGATGTTTTCCTAGAATTCCCTTGCTTTGTCTATGATCCAGCAGATGTTGGCCATTTGATCTCTGATTCCTCTGCCTTTTCTAAAACCAGCTTTTACATCTGTAAGTTTTGTTTCACCTATTGTTGAAGCCTAGCTTGGGGGATTTTGACCATGACCTTGTTAGCTTGTGAAGTGAATGCAATTGTGCAGTAGTTTGAACCTTCTTTGGCATTGCCCTTCTTTGAGACTGGAATGAAAACTGACCTTTTCCAGTTATACATTATCTACAGGAAACCAACTTCAGCTTTAAGGATATGTGTGGATTAGTCACTCGGTCATGTCCAACTCTTTGCAACCCCATTGACTGTAGCCTGCCAAGCTCCTCAGTCCATGGTATTCTCCTGGCAAAGAATACTGGACTGGGTTGCCATTCCCCACTCCAGGGAACATACATAGGCTAAAACTGAAGGGATAGGAAAAGATATTAATACATGTGCAAACTAAAGAAGAGCTGGGGTAGTTATATCAGACAAAACAGAAGTAAAGAACTGTAATAAGACACCAAGATATCATTATATAACTATAACTGAGCCAATTCAGAGTGTATAACAATTATAAGTACATAGGTACTCAACATTGAAGTGTCTAAATATGCTAGACAAGTACAACCCTGAAGGAAAAACAGACAGCTATATAAAAACAGTAAGAGACTTGAATATCCCACATTCAGCAATCAGTTCAGTTAAGTTGCTTGGTCGTGTCTGACTCTTTGCAACCCCAAGGAATGCAGCACGCTAGGCTTCCCTATCCATCACCAACTCCCTGAGCTTGCTCTAACTCATGTCTGTAGAGTCAGTGATGCTATCCAACCATCTCACGCTCTATCGTCCCCTTCTCCTGCCTTCAGTTTTTCCCAGCACCAGTGTCTTTTCCAATGAGACAGTTCTTCGCATCAAGTAGCCAAAGTTTTGGAGCTTCAGTTTCAAAATCAGTCCTTCCAATGAATATTCAGGACTGATCTCCTTTAGGATGGACTGGTTTGATCTCCTTGCAGTCCAAGGGACTCTCAGGAGTCTTCTCCAATGCCACAGTTCAAAAGCATCAATTTTCGGCACTCAGCTTTCTTTATGGTCCAACTCTCACATCCATACATGACTACTGGAAAAACCATAGCTTTGACTCAACAGACCTTTGTTGGTAAAGTAATGTCTCTGCTTTTTAATATGCTATCTAGGTTGGTCATAGCTTTTCTTCCAAGGGCCAAGTGTCTTTTAATTTCATGGCTGCAATCACCATCTGCAGTGACTTCAGAGCCCAAGAAAATAAAGTCTTTCACTGTTTCCATTGTTTTCCCATCAATTTGCCATGAAGTAATAGGACTGGATGCCATAATCTTTGGTTTTTGAATGTTAAGTTCATTATATAGCAATACATCCAGACCAAAAAAGTCAGTAAAGAAACACTGAAATAAGGAAACCTTGGACTAAATAGCCTAATAGATATATACAGACCATTCCATCCCAAGGCATCATATTACACATTTTTCTCAAGTATACATGAAATATATTCCATGATAAATCATATGTTAGCTCACAAAACAAATCTTAGCAAAGTTAAGAAGACTGAAATCATAAAAAGTTTTTTCTGACGACAATGGTATGAAACTAAGAATCAATAACAAGAGGAAAATCAGAAAATTCACAAATATATGGAAGTTAGACAACCTGCTATTGAACAACCAAAGGGTGAAAGAATAAATCAAAAGGAAAATGCAGCAAGTTCCATACATACGAACCTCCAAGTTGTGAAGTTTCAAAGATACACACATGCATTCGCCTGCCCAGTCACATCCGTTCACTCACGTGTCTGGTGTCACATGCGTGCAACCTCTACAAGTGGCTGTGCATTTGTGTGCCTTATTGCACAGTCCTGAGTACAGTGCAGTGTTGCAGTGTCCTTGTCTCAAGCCCAGGATGCCTGGAAGCAAGCATAAAGGCAGCGGTGTAGCTGGTATGGCTGAAGAACTGGAGATTCACGATGCAGGGAATGGCAAGCGCTTTTCTTTATTTGATGGGCACTGTTAGCTTTTGCGGTGCAGGACCTGAAAGCAGAACTACGCACGAAGGTTGTCAGAATGCAATTCAGTGTTACCATGTCAACTATGATGAAAAAGAAAAAGAGCTAGTCCCAGACATCACTGGATCATTTTTCCAATAGCGTATATAGAACTGAAGCCAGCAAGGAGCACCAGCCTGTGCCATCAACGTCAGGTGTGAGTGACGCTGCGGCTGGCCTCCGTCTGTGCCGACAGCCCCGCAGCCCCGCCGTCGCCCCCACCCGCGCCCTCCTGCAGGCAGCGCTCTTCTTGCCTGCTGACTCGCGCCCGCCCCGGGGCGCCAGCTGGAGCTCTGTGGAGTGTGTGTGCTCCGTCTTTGCGACCCATGAGCGGCAGCCCGCCAGGCTCTTCTGCGCGTGGATTCTCCAGGCAAGGATACTGCAATGGGCTTCCATTTCCTGCTCCGGGCATCTTCCCGACCCGGGAACTGAACCCTTGTCTTCGCCTCTCCTGCATTCCCAGGCAGACTCTTCACCATGGGTGCCACTTGGGAAGCAGCCGCTACGGTAAGTTTAAAAATATTTTCTCTTTTTTTGTCTGTGTGTGTTTGATTGTCCTTATGTATTATTTGCATGAAAAATAATGTAAACCTGTTATAGTACAGTACCATATAGCCAATTGCGTTAGTTGGTATCGAGGCTAACTTTGTTGGACTTATAAGCAAATTGGATTCATAAGCTAGCTCTAGGAATGGAACGTGTTCATATGTACAGGACTTGGTGTAAAAGAAATATCTTGAGACAAATGAAATGAAAACAAAATATACCAAAACATATGGGACTCACTAGTTTTAAATGATGGACTCCTACATTAAGAAGAAAGAAAGATTTAAAGTAAACAACCTAACCTCACAATTCAAGGAAAAAGGAAAAGGAGAACAAAGTTAGCAGAAGGAAGCAAATTACAAAGAGCAGGAAAAATGAAAGAGAGACCAGAATAGCAATAGGAAAAATCAATGAAACTAAAATCTGTTTTTAAAGATGGACAAAAGCAGACCAACTTTCAGTTAGACTAAGAAATAATGAAAGGAGACTCAAGTAAGTAAAATAAAAAATAAAAGAAGAGATATCATAGATGATACAAAGAAATGCACAGGATTAAAGAAACTATTGCTAACAATTATATTAAAAAAATTGGATAGTCTGGAAGAAATTGATAAATTCCTAGAGACACACATACAAGACTTCAAGACTGAATCATGAAGAAATATAAAATTTGAACAGAGCAATAACAAGTAAGGAGATTGAATCAGAAATCAAAAACCTTCCATCAA